AATAATAGTAATGAGTATTATAATGAAAAATGTTGTTTATAAAATATTGATAATAAATATCAGTATATAATATCAGTAAATAAAATGCAAAATTTTGATAATAAATTTAAGCGTCAAGAAAAATATGTAAAAAACTAAATTAATTTGTTATATTTTTTCTTGAAAAATATATATAAAGTATGTCATATCTATATGCATATCTAACTATAACTATATATAGTTTTGCTTAGACATTTTTACATTCCACAAGCCTTTCAATATTTGTATTTCCCACTCTCAAATATCAGTATTCATTTTGCATTCCCATCTTTCAAATAGTACTTCCTGAAGCTATAGTGATTATTATGTTTATTTACTTATCACAATTTATAGTCTCGTTTTACTGTTAGTTTTTTCCGTTTTAAATTACTGTAGTTTCTCTCGATAATCGAGAATTGTAAGCAATGCGTCATATGAGGCAACTAGCCAAAAAGCAAAAACTGAAAGAAAAAAACAATCTCAGCTATAATTTGCAACTTTTTACTCTTTTTTTTGGTTTGTTTTTGATTTTCCTACGCTTTTTGTTTCAATGTCATTTGGTTTCTTTATTTTTACTCTTTCTGTTTTGGGAGGGGGGAAGTTTGGCAGAAAACCAGACGCTGTAATTGCGGCCGCCACTTGCCACATGCCACTCGCCACTTGAACCAACTCATAAAACCAGCCACCAACAAAAACCCAAACTCTAAAATTCCATCTTGTAATACTACAGACTGCATTTGTTGTTGTAAATGCAACGAGGCCTGTCTGGTTTTTGCTATACATACATACATACATRTATACATTTATTTAGTATGCATATACCCTAGCCGAGAGAGTCTAACTAGTTAAGCAATGAATGTGCGACTATATTTAGTTTATGTTCCTCACGACCTATTTATAGACCCAAGGAACTATTGACTAGAGTAGAGTAGAACCTCTCTAAGTCATACATTCACAAATACACAGTTAAATGTAGGCGGTAAGCTTGTAAATTCTGTGTTCTAGAGCTTTCTATAAAAACCTCTAATAATAATAACTTCAATTTCTTGGCATTATAATGAGTTAAAAAAAAAATCCCAAATAAATCAAAAATTAATTATTAAAGTGATTTAT